GGTTATGCAATGTTCAATGTACAGTTCAGTGTATGACACAGTAGAGGGCAGTAACAAGGTCAAAGTCTCTGCTGATAAAATAAGAAACTTTTTCACAGTTCTCCTCATCAGGTCCACCTATATATTTACTGTATATGTGTACACATATGTGTATATGCCTATATATATATATATTTTGATGTGTACAGTATGACAGAGGACAAATGTATGTATATATGTTTACATATATATCTTCTAAGCAACCACACATATATAGAATATAACTGTATATATGTGTGTGTGTGTGTGTGTGTGTGTGGGAGTCGAACCCTTTTAAAATAAACTGTCCATATATGTACATATATATGTCTGTGGGGCCAGTGGGAGCCAATCACAGCGGTCAAACAGACTGCTGGTCGTACACCAATCGTCAACGACCACAGGTGGAGATGAATTCACACTCACATTCACACTCACACTCACATTCACACTCACATTCACCCTCACACTCACATTCACACTCATTCACACTCATTCACACTCACATTCACACTCACATTCACCCTCACACTCACATTCACATTCACATTCACATTCACACTCACACGCACACTCACATTCACACTCACATTCTCATTCACACTCACATTCACACCCACATTCACACTCATTCACACCTCACTTCAGTCTAACATTGTAGCTAATCCATTAACGACTATGTCACACACACACAATCGCACACGTACGATCGTGATCCACTTGGGAATTGAACCCTGATCCTCTTGCTGTGGAGGCAGGAGTTCTAACATTTGCCACTATGTGGCGCCCTCCTCCTGTCTAATGATGTATGTCTCCTCAGTTTGGAAGAAGAATGTTGGGTTTGTACTTCTTAGGTTGACATCAGAGTGAGCAGGTGGGGTGGGGGGGGTCAGGTGGGGTGAGCGGTGGTGAGCGGTGGTGAGCGGTGGTGAGCGGTGGTGAGGGGTGGTGAGGGGGGGGTGAGGGGGGGGTGAGGGGGGGGTGGGGGGGGGGGGGGGGTCAGGTGGGGTGAGCGGTGGTGAGCGGTGGTGAGCGGTGGTGAGCGGTGGTGAGGGGTGGTGAGGGGGGGGTGGGGGGGGGGGGGGGGGGTCAGGTGGGGTGAGCGGTGGTGAGCGGTGGTGAGGGGTGGTGAGGGGGGGGTGAGGGGGGGGTGAGGGGGGGGTGGGGGGGGGGGGGGGTCAGGTGGGGTGAGCGGTGGTGAGGGGTGGTGAGGGGGGGGTGAGGGGGGGGTGAGGGGGGGGTGGGGGGGGGGGGGGGGGTCAGGTGGGGTGAGCGGTGGTGAGCGGTGGTGAGCGGTGGTGAGCGGTGGTGAGCGGTGGTGAGCGGTGGTGAGGGGTGGTGAGGGGGGGGTGGGGGGGGGGGGGGGGTCAGGTGGGGTGAGCGGTGGTGAGGGGTGGTGAGGGGGGGGTGAGGGGGGGGTGGGGGGGGGGGGGGGTCAGGTGGGGTGAGCGGTGGTGAGGGGTGGTGAGGGGGGGGTGGGGGGGGGGGGGGGTCAGGTGGGGTGAGCGGTGGTGAGCGGTGGTGAGGGGTGGTGAGGGGGGGGTGGGGGGGGGGGGGGGTCAGGTGGGGTGAGCGGTGGTGAGGGGTGGTGAGGGGGGGGTGAGGTGTGTCCCAGACTGAACCGACCTCGGTCATTTGACCTTTACTGTGACGCAGTCATGAGTGTCATTAGAAAACAATGAAAAAAGGTGTTTTATTCATCCACTTCATTAGGGTCTGGACACACACACACACACACACACACACACACACACACACACACAGCTCCATCCTTCCTGATCATGTTTCTCATTATGGACTGGATCAAACCCGTTCCTCACCATCAGCCCAGCGTCAACCTGCCACTATAAAATGGACCCAACATGGGTGAGGAGGAAAAGGTGAGGAGAAGGTAAGAGTGAGGAGTAGTCCAAAAAAACAAAAACCTAGGACAAATCAAGACGGAGAAAAGATGTCTCACGGAACCAGTGGAACCAGTGGAACCAGTGGAAGCAGAATCTTCATGACAGGTGAGAACGACCTGAAGCTAAATGGAACGCAGCCTTAGACAATCTGCTGATTTGAAAACCTCACAGTGTCTGTACTGCGTCTGTACTGCGTCCTCCTCAGTCCTGTACTTGGTGGCGTCCTGCAGCTCCGTCCCCATCAACGACCTGTTGGACCGAGTGTCTCAGCGCTCTGACAAAATCCACTCCCTCAGCACCACACTCTCCCAGGAGCTGGTCGGTACTTAAACATGAGGAATGTCTGTGTCTGTGTCTGTGTCTGTGTGTCTGTGTCTGTGTATTAACGCCCCCTGGTGTGTGTTCTCCTCCCAGGACTCCCAGTTCCCCCTGATGGGCCGTGTGATCACCCCCCGTCCGTACATGTGTCACACCTCGTCCCTGCAGACCCCCAACGACAAGGCCCAAGCTCTTCAAGTGTCTGTGGGTCCACGTGTCTGTCTGTTGTTCCTCCCCGACTCCTGCTTCTTCTCCGTCAAATGTTCTGATGAATTCCTGTCTCACCTTCTCCTCCAGGAGTCGGACCTGCTGTCTCTGGCCCGCTCTCTGCTCCAGGCCTGGGTGGACCCCCTCCTGGTCCTGTCCTCCTCGGCCAGCTCTCTGCCACACCCAGCGCAGAACGCCATCGCCACCAAGATCCGGGAGCTGCAGGAACATTCCAAGAGTCTGGGCGACGGCCTGGACATCCTGTCAGGAAAGGTACGGAGGGCGGACCTGAGGACACGCCCCCTGAGCGTTCACTATTTTATAATGAACATCAATCTTTAATCAAACTCACCTCTCTCCCCCAGATGGGTCCGGCTGCCCAGAACCTCTCCCTCCTGCCCTACAGTGGAGGCAACGACATCGGCCAGGACAGAATTTCCAGAATTATTCATTTGAATTTCCTGATGTCCTGCTTCCGACGGGATTCCCACAAGATCGACAGCTTCCTGAAAGTCCTGCGTTGTCGGGCTACTCAGCCGCAACCTGAGATGTGCTAAGAAGAGAGTATGGGGGGGTGGGAGGA